GGGGCCAAGATTTGAGAATCGACATGGACTAAGATGCCAGAGCGTTCAACTAAGCTAAGGTTGAAGTGGCCCTGCTGATTAGGTACCGAAGCCCTACAATCAGACCGGCTAGCTCCTAAACCCTAAATACAGAAGGCAAGGGTGTCTACAAAGTAGGACGTCCTTTCCCCTCGCCCCAAACATGAACCATTTCATACATACAAATTACCATATGTACTGTATACGTAGTGTACGGTGTGGAACACCACCCCGCCAAAAGCCACACCGGTCCCCGCGCTCCTCGATGCCTAAACATGTCGAGTGAAACCGTGAGAGCCCTCAGCCCTTGATGCCGGGCTCTGTGGCTAAGGCGGCTTCGAACATCTAGTGCTGTCCTTTGGACTTATTTGCAAAAAAACACGAAACCCGCGTAGCCCTCAAGAAGACAATGTGCTGACAAAACCCGAAGAGGAGGGTGCGGAGCGCCTGTGAGAGAGAGAGGGTCTGCACCCTAAACCAAACTCTATGGGGCCTCATTAGGGTCCCCTTACCCATTAAGGGGATCCGAAATATGGATATCGTGTGTGTTTTGGCTGTTTTTTGTGATTTTTTTCTAACAGTCCTTAAAAGGGAATACAGCACCCCCCATTATACTCCCCATGAAGGACTGTTCGTATCTCCCAAGTATAACAATGGGACCCACATTAAGGGGCCCATAGGGACCCTCGACATGAGGCCGGCCTGCAAGCGCCCCTGGACATGGATCGGGCGGCATCGCAGCTGCTTCGGGTGCGGCATCGGGGGGCGGGGGGGGAGGGGGAAAAGGAAGGGTGGCGGGGGACAGGGGGACGGGGGGGGTTTAAGGCCAGAGTTTAGTGGTTCAGGGAGTAGGTTTCAGGATTCTTGTGCTGAGATGTTCGGTGCCTGTGTTGTGTGTTTTTGCGTTTGGCATTAGGCCGCCGCTGAGGGCGAAGGTCGAAGGATGGGTGTGGATTCGAGAGGCTACATAGATTACCATGACCGTCCTACCGAGAGCAAACCCTACATAGTAATAGTGGATACGACGCAAGAACACCCATGTTCCAGATTGCTGCTCGAAGTGAAGATCTTTCCACACTTCGAGCAAGGTCAAGGCAATTGAGAAGAGAGGTGTACCGGTTCGCTCTCTGGGGAGAGGAGAAGACACAACTACAAGTCCACGCAAGGTGAACCCTCGACCCAGCAAGCCTAGCCCAACTAGCCGAAACAAAACAAGGCCCAGAAGGAAGGAGAGAAAGAGAGCAATCCAAAGAGGGACATTCCAAACTCAAAGATACAGAGCCTTAGCCCTAACATGCCCCCTAGTAGTTGCGTTTTTTGCTGAGTAAAACCACCGGCGAATCACAAGCATGGTCATGATGATTCTTCGAGGGAGTATAGCAACCAAAGTCCTCGCCGGACTCTGGACAATCAAAGCCTCTCTGGAGGTGCCAAGCGATCGGGATGCCATGGATATCCTGAAACGCACGGGCTCCCGAGATTTCTTTGAACTAGAGGACCAGAGGACCCTAGCCCCCAAGACCCTAAACCCCCTTGCGATTTAGGGGTTAGGCGTTTAGGGTTTAGGGTCACAGGCCCTGGACTCAACTCTTTCCAGGCTTGGAGAGTTTGTAGGGTTTTTAAGGGTGGTTTGTAGGGTTTGAGGTTTTAGAAAGGGGCTTACACAGGCTGAAAACCGCAGCCACACCCCTGATAACACGCCTCCGTACCTCGGCGGAGTACACGGAAATGCTTCAGGGGTTTGTGGGGGCTTCCTCCCAGATCGCCTGACATACCCAACAACAATGAAACTCGAACAGAAAGGGTTTGGGGACTTCGGCCAGCAAGGCCCCTGTTCGGGGAGATGCAATTTGGAAGCAAGTGACGCAGTTACCCCAAGGCGCTTCGATTCGACAGTTCTTCAGAAGCGCCCGAGTATTGAAGCCCCTCAGCCCCCCCCCCCCAGCTACGACTACGTGGGTATAGGGTGTATGCCTTGGGTTTGGGGGTGTTTAGGGAGGGGCTTAGGGCTCTTCGCGTGTGTGTGCTTTTCCTGAACTGCAAGGAATTGGCTTGTTGTGCTCGTGTTCTATGGGCATGGCAGCTGGCCTTAGGGGGTTTCAAGGGGAATCCGTAGGACCGCAAGAAGTGCCCGCGCACTTCACATCTTGAGCCCCACACTTTTCACATGAGCTCTCTGGGAGCCCTAGGGCCTGTGCAGTTAACATGTCACCTTTTTGACTATACATATATGTATATATATATATATATATATTAATATATATTTGTATGTATATGTATATATATGTATATATCTATCTATCTATCTATATATATATATATGTATTCCTATTACAAATACAAGGTTAACCTTGTTAGGGCTAGGGTATTCATCCCCTCAGAAGCGAAGGCGTGGAAGATAGCGCCAGCACGATTCGAGATCCCACTGCGCCCGCTCCTCAGAGTAACACGAGGGGCCGCCCGGGCCCAGCGGCACCCTTTACCCTGTCTTTTTTGTTGGGGCAAGGGACTAAAGGAGGGACCCTTGTAAGGGACCTTAAGGGTTTCTTAGGGGCTGCTTCGGGCTATAGGGACTGACTATATCAGGTGTATATAGAATTCTCAAGCGAGGGTGGGGAGGGGAGTTTGTCTCACAACGTGCTCTGCGCGAAGGCGACAGAAAAGTCCAGAAAGTGCCGCCGTGCGTTTGCAGGATGCCCTGTCGTACCCTTATTCCCCTTTTCCTACTACTTGCTCAAGAGCCCCGAAAAAAGTATGACAATAATCCTATAGTAGCCCTACACGGAAGAATATTTGGGGGGGAGCAAATAGTTCACAGATGGCAAGGTATGTAGAGTTTAGGGTTTGGGATACAGTCGGCCACTGAGGTATGTGGTCTCGGCCGTACGGCGTATCCTCGATGGAGGGAAGGCGCTGGCTTCTGCTTGGCAAGGATGGGATTTAGGGTTGAGGGTTAGGGTTTAGGGTTTGTGAACTTCAGCACCCCAGAGTGGGCCGCTGCTCAGATTTGGGCAGGGGGGCGCGCCCGGGTTCCCTCTTGAAACCCAGAAAAGCCAGAACAGGTACGCTTTTTCATGAGGTTTGCCTTCCGAAGCCACACTAGGCGTTCAGAGGTTCATTCGCCTTCTGTCCAAGCTTCAAAGCTGTGACAGGGCGGACGCCCGGGCCGGTGATGGAGAGAGCTCACCATGGGTAGTTGCAGGTCAGGGATAAAGGCTTTAGGGCCTGGAGCTTAGGGCTGGCTACCTTGGGAGCTTAGGGCTGGCTACCTTGGGGCCCCCTAACCCCTGAGCCGCTAAGCGCCCTAACCGGTCCGTCTTCTCACAACTACCCATGGCGAGAGATTGCGCCTCGCAGAAAAGTGTCGGTTTAAAGGGGCCCACGTAACCCTTGGGCCCTGCGACAGTAACTCGGGTACCCCCCCCCCCCCGCCCCTACTGTCGGAACTCCCCTTGAGGGTTTAGGACGCCCTTTTCTATGCTCTAGGCTACTGACTGGGGAAGCTAGGTCAGGCTTGCAGCACACCCCTCCCCCCAAAACACTAAACTAAACACCAAAAAACGCTCCGAAGAGAGCAGGTTTCTACAAGGCCCCGAAGACCCCCGATGAAATGGCCCTCAACCCCCAGTGCCCCCTGCAAAGGGCCTAAGGACAAGACGAGTAGATGCTGGCAATAGCCCTGTTTAGCGCGGGACTGCAAGGCTGCAGCGTGCCAAAAAAGGATGCAGAGCAGTTTCCGTAAGCGTATCCTAAAGCTTTAGGCTTTAGGGCTTAGAATTTCCGTGCATCTTGGCTTTGCCACATGTCCTTTCATGGGTGCCTTTCTCTGCGAAGTGGTTGGTCTTGCTAGAAGCTCCTCAGATTGCAGTACGGGGTTCGAGGTTTCGGGAAAGTTGAAGGTTTCTTCCGTTACTGGTTGCTGTCGACCTGCATCAGAGCGGTGAACTACCCAGACCCCGGGAGGATCCAAAAAGTACATCCCCTTTAAGGTTTCCGCAGAATGATCCAATAGTAGTTTTGTGTATCACTTGGGGGCTCTACTCTTCGGATCCTGCCCGGAGTCTGGGTACTCCTCATGTTCATAGTAGCTCTTCGCAGGGCAAGAAAGACAAATGTCCTGCAGCCATACCGGCCCAGAGGCTCAAAAAGGGCTGAAAGGGCGGTCCGCATGCTATGCGACGCCGCTTGTGCATCAAAGCGGCCAGCCTTTCTAAACAAGGGCTTTTCCGTGCCACCAATGCCTTGACGATCGTGTCCCGACTGGGTGAGAGTTTCTCTTCCTCCGACTTGCAAGACCCTAGGTGGAACAGTGGGACCTTTTTTTATTTTCCCCTCTTGGGTTTAAGAGGATCCTAGTCACAAGTCAGGAATAGTTTCCCCTACTGGGTTTGAAGAGGATCCTAGTCAGGAAGATTTTCTTCAGAGGGTGTTTAAGGAGGCCATCCGAGGTCTTCTTTCATGGTACCGTGGCCGTGGAGGCCGTTGACACTGGGTTCTGCCTTGGGAGCAGTTTTAACTTCCATCTTTCCTTATACGGGAACCTACTCAAAACCATTTTCACTGTCCCATCTTTCCTTAAAAGGGAACCGACTCATAAATCATTTTCAAGTTCCCCTTTTTCTTTATAAGGGAACCCATTTCATAATTAGTTTTTCAGAGGCTTTTAAAGCACCACTCATAACCCTAAACCCTAAACCCTAAACCCTAAACCCTAAACCCTAAACCCTAAACCCTAAACCCTAAACCCTAAACCCTAAACCCTAAACCCTAAACCCTAAACCCTAAACCCTAAACCCTAAACCCTAAACCCTAAACCCTAACCCGTAAACCCTAAACCCTAAACCCTAAACCCTAAACCCTAAACCCTAAACCCTAAACCCTAAACCCTAAACCCTAAACCCTAAACCCTAAACCCTAAACCCTAAACCCTAAACCCTAAACCCTAAACCCTAAACCCTACCCCTGAACCCTAAACTCAGGACATGTTTGTGAGCCACTCTTGGGCCGCAGATCGCTGGGCAAAGTTTCTGGCAATGAGCCTGGCGGGGGGGGTTTACGAACATAGGGGATAGGGTTTAGGGTTTAGGGTTTAGGGTTTAGGGGTAGGATGCCCTTATGCGAAGGACCCCCATAGGGTACCCCTGCTTTCGGAAATCCCCAGGTCCTGAACTTGAGTTTGGCCGTCAAGGCTACACTGGTTTCGATTCTGCTTTGTCAATGCTCCTTGCTGGCCTTCTTCCCCTACTTGCCTGTGAGTGCGATCTTCCTCATTGCGATGGATGTGCCAGTGCTGGTGTTTTTCCTGGTGCTTTTGTTTGGCCAACAACTAACTTGTGGGGCGTGGAGTCCGAGCATTTGGATAGACAAAATCTGCGTGAACCAGATGATCGACTCGGAAAAGGAGAAGGCCATTGCCGGGCTTCCTGCATTTGTGGCCAGCTCGTCTCAGATGGTGGTTCTCTGGGATCAAACATACTTCGAGAGGCAGGGCAGTCATCCCGACACTCACAACCCGCATCCCGAAACCCCGCACCCCGCAACAGGAGCCCAAACCCTAAACCCTCAACCCTTAACCTGCGTGTGGTTGCGAGGCTGGTAGGCAGGTGGCAAAAAACCCTCACCCCTTCCAGGCGGAGAAAAGCGCAACCTCGAACCCCAATGGGAGTTAGTGGGAACTTGCCTTCAACCTTATTCTAAGGGCGCTTACATAGTCCCAAAGCGTTTTGAGGTCGCATGGGGTATACAAGGGCTGCTCTTATGGGTCCCCCAATGGAAGCTTTGCTTTAACTACCCGAAGAGAGGGGAACGAAGCAGTGAACCGTAGAATCAAAAGCACCCCAATGCAGTCTCCCAATGGGATTTGCTGGGTTACCGATCCCTGATCAAGTGCCTGAAGCCAACACGTTGTTGGGGAACCCAATAGTGTCCCCACATCCTTTACTTCCAAGTCCCAAGCCCTAAACCTAAACCCTAAACCCTAAACCCTAAACCCTTCCTCAGCAACTCGCCGACCTGGCAAACTCCTCTTCTGCCAGGGGGGAGGCTTTGTCTTCTCATTTCTCGGGGTCTGTCAGTTTACCCGGGATCTTAACCCTAAGCTGCCACTTGAAAAGGAAACACAGGGTACTACAAGTTAGTCGTGGTCCGCTCCTCCGTGGGGAGCTCTTTATGACCCCCTTCGTGTCAAAGTGCTGTGGGAAAAGCCCTTTTCTTCATCTCTGCTCCCTTTGCGGAGCAGGTTGACGTCCACTGAGTGTCAGATATCTATTTCAATACATCAGCATCAATATAGCATCTTTGTGTCAATACCAGAATATCAACATTTCACATGTCAACATATCAGTGTATCGATATATCAAACATCTCAAACTATCGGCATATCAATATCCTGCGCTCCGCGTCCTACCTTCGCGGAGAAGGTCGACGTCGAGGTAGCGACACAATGACTAAATCCCCCTTGGGAATTATTTCGATTTTTGTTTATATAAAACCCAAGAGAATATTGAAAATATTGTTTTGATTAATAAAACCCAAGAGAATATTGAAAATATTGTTGTTATTAAGGTTCTAAGGGAAGTATAGATGACAGCAGACTGTGCTCCCTGAGGTTGTGGTGCAACTTCGAACTTGCCTTGTTTGCCAAATGCAGCGGCCTGAAGCTCGGCAGGACCTTGGGAGAATGCTTGTGTTTTCTCCCCCTTTCTTGGGTTTAGGAGGAACTTATCTAGGAGCCCTAAACCCGAAACCCCAAACCCTAAACCCTAAACCCTAAACCCGAAACCCAACCCTCGAGATGCCATGGCCAACCGAGGAAGAGATTGCGAGTCATTCCACTCTGGTTGCCCATGTGGCTTCTGACCACAATGACGTGCTGCTACTCGGATGCCCAAAAGCACTCGATTCCAGGTTTTGGAGGCTAAGTTCCGGCAACAAAGAGCGCCCGTTTTTTTGTAATTCTTTGGCTGCTGGGCATAGGCTATGTTGGCGGACGCCTTGCAGCCGTCGCAGCGGGAGGAGGCCAGTTGGAAGAGCTTGAAGATCAGGATGGTGCAAAAGGTGCGGGACAAAGCGCAGCCCTCACCTTCGGCGTGGAGCGCCTGGGAAAGTACGCTGCCGACAGCCTCGGCTTTGTGGTGTTCTTCCTTCCTTCCCTGATGGTCAGCATTGTATCCTTCCAGGCGAAGCTTGACGGTCACAGACTGATGCTGGAAAGCATCAGGTCTTTCGACGTGCGAGCTGCGGCATGCGCCCTGGACAGTGACCGCCTTCAAATTGAGGCGCAGGTTTGTGAGCTTTTCGATGGCCTTGAAGAGCCTCTAGTGGCTTGCTAGCCCGGTAGTACCCTTTACCCTTTTCTTTTAGTCCTGGGTTCCCTTATAAAGTAACCGACCCAATTATGCCGGCGAAGACCCCAAACAGTAAGATTGTAGATGAAGGGAAAGCGGCATGAAACAATAACGCGACGCGTAGAACTCGGCAGGCCGAGTTTACAATCAGAAAAACTGGGCTCAGTATGGAGGCGGTCGGAACAACCCTTTCCCAATCCAAACGAGGCATTGACATGGATGTCCAAGCGCTGCCCACATGCATTTTGCCAGGCCTGAAAAATGCATTTGGTCTTTCTTTCTACATTTGCAACGCCATGCTCTTTCTTTCTGTGCTTTTTCAAAGGCGAAAACAGCTGAGTGCATTTAGGCACGCGCGAAAAACGCAGTTTCCTTATTCGTCTCTTCTGCACGCAGCTTGTCTTTACGACGAAGGATCAGCTCTTAACCCAATTCTATTGCGGTTGTGGAAGGAGCAAGCCACGCGAATGCATTTTGCCCACTTAAAAAATGCACCTGAGCATGTTCTTCCTGATTCTGGGTCTGTTTCGGTACGCCTGCAGGATGCCGAGCATTGTTCTAAACGCGTTTTTCAATTCCTATAGCTACGTTTATGCACAGAAAACACATCAGAAGAATCGAATACGTCATGAGCCAGCAGAAACCAAGACTAAACATGATAGGAAACCAGTGCCAAATGCATTCTTCGGGCGACGAAAAATGCATTTGGAATGCCCTAGAAATGCATGTCGGGTAGATGTTGGTCGTAAAACACCAACCTACTTTTTTGTTTTGTGTTCGTTTGCTTTTCATGCTGTAATGGAGCAAAGATAACCCAATAGACATGGATGACCAGACGCTGCCGAATGCATTTTGCCAGGCTGAACCACGCATTTATTTGGTCTTGCTTTCCACATGTGCAACGCCGCGTGCTCTTTTCGCTTTTTTTCCAAGCGAAAACAGCTGAATGCATTTGGGCACAGGCGAAAAATGCATTCGGTCTTTGACACAAACGTCAGTTATCAAGTGAGTCTTTTATTGTGGTTTTGGAAGGAGCAAGCTGCGCGAATGCATTTTGCCTGCTTTGCAAAATGCATCTGGGCATGTCGCTTTTGATTTTGGGCCCCTTTTCGGGAGTTTTGCAAAACGGTGATTATGGTTCTACACGCATTCAAATCCCGCATGAACGCCCTCCCAATGCCTGTAGCTGTAGCTCACCACGGACCCGAACCGCCTGACACCCGCCCGGCCCCATTGCGCTCATGGTCCGAGACCATGGGAGACCACGAATCCAAGCGTGTGACACCCTCTCAACCCCTGTCGCTGCGTCGCTCATGATCGGAGATCACGGGAGACCACGGACCCGGACCGCGTGGCACGCGCCAGCCCATGATCGGAGACCCAAGCGCGTGAACACCCTCCCCACGCCTGTAGCTAACCGCGTGCCCGGCCCCATTGCGCTCATGGTCGGAGATTATGGGAGACCACAAATCCAAGCGTGCGACACCCTCTCAACCCCTGTCGCTCATGATCGGAGATCACGGCACGGACCCGGACCGCGTGACACCCGCCAGCCCATGATCGGAGACCCCAAGCACGTGAACACCCTCCCAATGCCTGTAGCTCACCACGGACCCGAACCGCGTGACACCCGCCCGGCCCCATTGCGCTCATGATCGGAGATGTTGGGAGACCACAAACCCAAGCGCGTGACACCCTCTGTCGCTCATGATCGGACGCCGTGACAGACCACGAAACCGGACAGCGTGACACCCGCCCATCGTGCTCAGAGACCATGGGAGACCACGAACAAGCGCGCGACACCCTCCCAGATGATTTAATTATGGGAGACCATCAAGCGCGTGACACCCTCGAACCCCTGCCACTCACCACGGACCCGAACAGCGTGACACCCGTCCGGCCTCATTGCGCTAATGACAGGAGACCATGTGAGACCACGAATCCAAGCGCGTGACACCCTCTCAACCCCTGTCGCTCACGAGCGGAGATCATGGGAGACCACGGAGCCGGGTCGCGCGACACCCGCCCAGCCCAAGATCGGAGAATCTGGGAGACCACGAACCCAGCGCGTGACACCCTCCCAAGCTTGTTGCTCATCGAAGTCCAGGGGAACTGCGGACCCGAACCGCGTGACACCCTCACCGGAGACCAGGGACTCAACCGTGACACCTTCCCAACCCTTGTCGCTCATGATTGAAGACCGTGGGGGAACACGGACCCGAACCGCGTGACACCCACCCGGCCCCAGTGCGCTCACAACCCTTATGATCGGAGACCATGCGCAACCGCGGACCCGAGCCGCGTGACACCCACCCAGCCGACTGCACTCATGATCGGAGACCAGACCCGCGTGACACCCTCCCAACCTCGGTCACTCATGATCGGAGACTGTGATCACGGACCCGGACCATTTCGCTCATGAGCGGAGACCCTGGAAGACCACGGACCCAAGCGCGTGACACCCTCCCAACCCCTGTCGCTTCGGAGACCATGGAAACCTGGACCGCGTGACACGGCCCGAAGCGCGTGACACCGGCCCCAATTGTGCTCATGATCGGAGACCATGGGAGTGACACCCGCCCAGCCCCAATTGTGCTCATGATCGGAGACCATGGAAGACCGCAGGCCCGAGCGCGTGACACACACCCGGCCCCAATCGGGCAATTGCGCTCATGATCGGAGACCATGGAAGACCGCAGGCCCGAGCACGTGACACCCATCCGGCCCCAAGGGCCCCAATTGTGCTCATGATCGGAGACCATGGGAGACTACAGGCCCGAAGCGCGTGACACCCACCCGGCCCGAATGACCGTGAGAGACCACAGGCCCGAAGCGCGTGACACCCACCCCGCCCCAATGGCCCCAATTGTGCTCATGATCGGAGACCATGCCAGACCACAGGCCCGAAGCGCGACACCACCGGCCCCGATGGCCCCAATTGCGCTCATGATCGGAGACCATGAAAAACCACAGGCCGGAAGCACGTGACACCCACCCATGATCGGAGACCATGGGAGACCACAGGCCCGAAGCGCGTGACACCCACCCGGCCCCAATGGCGCGGAGACTAGCGGGAACCACCCCACCCCGATAGCCCCAATTCTGTTCATGATCGGAGACCCGGCCCCAATGGCCCCAATCCTGCTCATGATCGGAGACCGTGGGAGACCACAGGCCCGAAGCGCGCAACACCCACCCGGCCCCAATGGCCCTAAATCGGAGACCATGGGAGACCACAGGCCCGAATCGCGTGACACCCACCCGGCCCGAATGGCCTCAATTGTGCTCATGATCGGAGACCATGGGAGACCACAGGCCCGAAGCGCGTGACACCAATTGTGCTCATGGTCCGAGACCATGGGAGAGCACAGGCCCGAAGCGCGTGACACCCACCGACCCGAATGGCCTCAATTGTGCCCATGATCGGAGACCATGGGAGACCACAGGCCCGAAGCGCGTGACACCCATCTGGCCAAGCGCGTGACACTTTTTTTTCTGAGGAGAGGACCCCAAACGGTTCCTGTTTGGGGAAAAAAAGGGAGCCCTTGTGATAAGATGGTTCCTGGCCCACCAAGGTGGCAACGTCCCTTGACACAGGCTCGGAGAGCGAGGCCGAGGTTGCTTTGCCGGTACTGTCAGCCGAGGCCAGGCGAGCCATTCGGTCTGTAACCGGCTTTGCCGAGGATGGCCACTGCATCCAAGCATTCAACCGCTACGTGCGGGGCCCCCTCTTAGATGCGATTTTGGAAGACTTCGGTGATGAGCTTGAAGCACCATGGGCCATGTGCTTGCTTAGCTTCCTTCCTGCGACATTGTCCTTCGTGGCTTTGACTTTAGTTGTGGCACCGGATTTCCACAGCTGCGGCTATCCTTCTATTGAGGTGTATGTCTTCTTGAACTACTTGCAGGTCCTGATGATGACTCTTTTTATTCTGCCCCTAGCTCATCCCATGTTGCTCCGTGCCATGGGCATCCTGGCTACGAGGCTCAGCCCTGGATGTCTCCGAAGTACGGTCACCATCGGAACTGGTATTCTGGTATACAGCTCTCTCCTGGTCTTCTCATCTGTTTTGTCCGTGACACTGGAGGGCTTCGTGATCACACGGCATCCCGCATTTCTTGCTGGCTTCCTGCTGTCCTCACTGCTTGTCTTGGTTCAAAGCTGCCGTGTCTTTCGGGGACGGTGCTGGGACTTCCCGCGCTGTTCCTGCCGATGCTTGGGCCGAAGTCGCTGAAGTTCCGGGGCGCCACGGTCCTCGAACGAGGACGTATCTTTGTGAAATGGCGCCTCAATGGCCAACTGTCCGAAATCCGAAAGAAACGCGGAAATCGGCCTCGGCACAGAGTCATAAAAGCGTGCGATGCACTTGACGAGGTCAGTATTCCTCCTCGGTTGCTTGGTCTTGCTAGGATGGTTGAGTGGAGGGAGCTTGGGAGGAAGACAAACGAAAATTCCGGATGAGATTCCTTACTAGAGTCCCCTGAGGATATATGTGGTTTCATGTTTTGTTTGGGTGCCGTAGAATACGTGCCCGCATAATGTGGAGAACTGCCCCCATGTGTCGTGTGTTTCTACAACCCAAGAGATCACTGCAAGTATCAACTTTTTTTGGTTCTCAACCCAGACTCCTGGGAGGATCCAACAAGTAGATCCCTTTAAGTTTTTCCTGAGACTGACCCAATATTCGTATAGGTGACTAGTTTGGGGGTTCCACTAAGTGGATCATGACATGGGCTCAGGGGAAAGTCTTGGGGTCGCGGGTTTAGGGTGCAAGCTTTCTACAGGGACCCTTTGTTTGTGAAATCTGTTGGGGGCTGCGGCATCTTGGGAGTGCGCCGTTTCTCTTTGTTCACCTTCATGGAAGTCCTAAACCCTAAACCCTAAACCCTAAACCCTAAACCCCAGTAGGGTGTGCCCCTGAACCCGGGTAGATGGCCTATCCGAGCAGGCCTTTCTCGGTAGCCGAAAGCGTATGTGTAACCCGCACCCTCCCTACACTACTAGTGGGTCATTCTTAGGAACCCTTAGTAAGGGATTTACTTCTTGCATCCGTTCCATTCTTGCTTTGCACGTGCCTGCATCTTTCAAGTCATGGAACCCTCGGGTGTGTATCTTTGGGCTCAGGCGAAAGCTCATGGCAGCACAAACATGCCGCGAAGTGAGCCACTCCCATGTGGGTTGTGGAAGTCGCCGTGCTGGGGAGCGCGTGGGCTTTACCGGGCGCACCTCGGCTCAATTCTACGTGTCCCAGCCGGTGTGAGCTAGGAGAAGACGTCGATGACATGCCCTGGCAGGGAAAGTACTTGAAGAAGCAAGTCCTCTTTCGTCCCGGGATGAGAGCTGCACTTGCAAAAACATTGTAGATCCACGTGCAACCGACCGCCTCTTTGCAGCAAAGGAATGCATGTGCCAGCACCGGCGGCACAGGAAACACCTGCATGCTTCATTTCTCGTCTTCTATTTCAGAGTACCACGAAGAGGGTTGTTTCAGGTCGGCGCCGCCCTCAGAAGTAAGAGCGTACTACCACGGAACATTACAGGTAGCACGTACGTGGCACCACAAGCGTGGAGCTGTTCTCATTAGGGACCAGGCCTGGTCCCCGCGTACGCGGATTTGCTTTGCATTAAAGCAAATACCCTAAACCCCCAGCCCTTGATCCTGGCGCGCGCGGCGCGCATTCAGGAGATTTGAAGGCTTTTCAAAGCTCCAGAAGGCTCCTGAGGGCTTGAAAAAGGCCTGGAAAGCTTCAAAGAGCGTCCGCGTAGTGATTGCTGCTGGGGCTTGCTTTCAAGCGATTTGGCCCCCGATACACTCGACGCGCACCCAAAGTTTCAGAGCCGAATCACCTTTTGAATTCACCTGAAAGACGGGGACCAGGAGGGCCGGGCACGAGTGCCAGACCCCAGGGCTGACAGCCCTTGGAGCCTACAATCCTACAAGCAGGGCCTAAGCCCCAAGCCCTGAAGGGGGCAGGTCTCCGTTGCGATCTGCATAGGCCCTTCTCCTCTCAAAAAGCTTCGACAAGCCAAGGCATTTAAAATCCTTCAAGGATCCAGAGACTTGTCCGCAGGGGCTTCAGGGCCATAGCGGGTGCTTTCTTGGGACCCCAAGCCCTGAAGCCCTGAAACCCTGAAACCCTCACCAAAAGCCTGAAAACCCTAAACCCTCTTGCAAGAGACAGTTTCAAAGGGAACTCCCTCCAAAGGAAGCCCCAGGGCCTTGAAAAACACCCCCGCCTCCCCATATTTTGGAATCCTCTGGTGGTTTCTCAAAATCATCAGGGTTGAGGGCCCTACACCCTAAACCCTACACCCTTCCCCTCTTGGCCGGCCACGCACACTTATACCCTCCACCATCAGTCCTCACATCCAATCCAGAAGCCTTACTACTGTTTGCCCAGACCCTGGAGGATCCAACAAGTGGATCCATCAATGATTCCAAAGAATGACCCAAAAAAACAAAAGGATGCGATTTGGGGGGTTCTACCCCCCAAAACATAGTGAACATATTCTTCCATATTGAGGGTAATACAGGGATACTTATCTTTGATGATTTGGTGGGGGGTTCTTGAGCAAGCTTATCTCTTGGCGGGTTTAGGGCTTAGGGTTAAGGATGCAAGAAGGGTTTTGGGGGATTACATCTTCGTCCATGGTTGGGACATGAGTTTCCTCTGGGGGCAGCTGAGGTATGCAGTGGTCGATGCCTCAGTTGCCTCTGGTGGGGGTGCAACGATGTGGCGTCTGCATTAGGCAAGAGGAGTGGCACTTGCACATCTGGCCCTTAGTTTCCCTGTCGGTCCTAAACCGTGTTTTTTTGACACCAAAGAAAAAGAATTCTCACCAACCAAACATAGCAGAATCCCTCTCAAAAACACGGGTCCTTGCCCAAAAAGGAACCCCAACGCCCTAAGCACGCAAAAAACCCCTGAGGTAGCAACTGTTGGGCTCTGAATCCCAGGCTTTCTCAGTCACCTACCACACAAAAAAACCTGAGGTATCAATTTTGTTGGGCTCTGAATTTCCAGGCTTTCTCAGTCCACCTACCACACGCTCCTGTTTCCGGCCGTGGCCTTGACTTTCATCTTGGCCTGGCTGGCAAGGCCTGCCGAGGGGTTTAGGGTTTAGGGTTTAGGGTTTAGGGTTTAGGTGTACATGTAGGGGGGGTTTCTTGAGGCCAGAGGTCAAATTGTTCCCTTTTTTGGTCTCTGGGCTCCTTCATGCAACGAGTTGTTGAAGAGCACCCTGATCATGTCGTGAATACCGGGCGCCACCTTCAGCCAGATGCTCCTTCTTGGCCATCTTTCTTACTTTAGCCTGAGGGGCCTACGGCTTGTATGAAGAGACGTCGACCCGACCCGATGCTGAAGGTTGTCAGTTGGGTTTTGGAGTGGCTGCGTAGTCTAGGAGTGACTTGCTGGTTCGAAATGGGAGATTAGGGACACACGCCATCCTGACTGCGAGCCCTAACCCGACAGAGTTACGCGCTTTTGGGTTTTGTAGCTTGGCTTGAGGGCAGAATGAGATATAAAGGGACACCAAAGACCCCTGGAGCGCGAGGCCAGCTGCGTCAGAGAAGTTCCCGCCGGGCTTCCGAAAGCACCTCATGAAATACCTGATCGTGACTCGCTCTCATGGCTTTGGAGAAGTGGCATATGCTCTTCCCAATGAGCTTTCAAGCCGAAGCAGTGCCCACGACCACCCCCATGGCCCTCTGTTTGCGCACCGTGTTCGTAGAGGCCACCCTTGCGATAAGGAGTTCAAGGGATACTTCCTCCAAACTCTTCCCTGCATGGCGAAAAGTAAAGCGGGGGTCGCGCGCCGCCACGCCTTCACCGCATGCATACACACTTCAGCCTTTCAGGAGCAAACGCGATGGCTTACCCTTGGCAGGGGCAGAGCCTCGAACGAAACATGAAAACTACACCCCCAAACCCTAAACCCTAAACCCTAAACCCTAAACCCTAAAAAACCCAAACCAATGCCTCAGATACCCATGGAATGGGAACCACATCCTAAGGTCTGGGTCTTCTGTGTTGCGGCAGACTGGCTCCAGGGCCCCTATGTTTATGACGCTTGCTTGCAAGTCTGGGTCCACGTCGCTCTTGCACAGGAACTCAAAATTGGTGACCCCAAGACGGTACTGAATGCTACACCAAACCCTATACACTAAACCCCAAACCCTAAACCCTATAGCACCTGCTTCTGGCAGCTGAATATGTACGTTCCTGAAGAACCCAGTCCAGGCCCGGGTCGGCCGGAAGAGAGATGGGGTGAAAGAGGAAATGGAGAGTTCCGTCAAGAAACTCTCGGGGGGTTGAGGTCTCCGGCTGCTTTGATCGCCTGAGGCGCTTTATTCTGCTTATGGATACTCAAAGCACGAGATCGCGGCGGCTTGGCTTAGACGTGAAGGTGCATGCGAACTTCCCTTCCCTCTCGCTGCTGATCCTGTTTTTGGAGCCCTAAACCCTCTCCCCTAGACCCTGGCCTGATTTCCTAACCTGAATGCCAAAGGCGATTACCCAAGGTGCATTTCAACCTAACCTTGGATCCTTTTCCAGTTCTCCGAGACCGACCTACAAACCCCGCATTGCCGTGGCTAGTCGGGTGCCAAAAAAAACCCTGGCCTAACTCAAAAGACACGACGACTACTTCATTGAAAGTTCGCTTCACCCGAGTCTCAGGTGCTGTTCGTAGCCGGGTATGGAGCATCCGGAGCTGCTCGGATGCAGACAGGCCGCCGCAGGTAGCGTGGCCCCATCTCCCGTTGGCAACCTTGAATGGTTGGTTGGAGTGGTGGAAGTCACATTGTCTTGCAGTTGGTGACTTCAGTCTGTTTCTGGGTCTTAGGTCTTTGACTAGCATGGACAGAACCTTTCATCGCAGGTCAGCACTGCGAGGCTTGTCACCACTGAAGCAAAAAGTCGTCATGCCATGCCATGTATGGTTAGAGAATGGCCTTGCGTGTGGTGACAGTGGATGGCAGACAGAAGCCGTCGCCATAGCTCGCTTGTGCTCATCATGTCTTACGGTTGAGGGTCATAGCCATTGCAGTAATCCTGCAACCAATGACACCTACAGCAAGAGTCACCCACTCCCCTTGCTCATGCATGCTGTCAGGTTTGCAGCTGTGGCATTGGCTCACTGGCCGACCGTTTTGGTGCCTGAGCTGAGCTGGAACAAAACCTCCTGGAGGAAGTTTCGACCCTGAAACCTTCAGCCTGGCAATTAACCCGACTCGTTCTTTGGCAAATTCCCACTTCTTAGTAGCCGAGTAGGTAACCTTTAACCTTTTGTGGTGTATAGAATCCTACCATACTTGAAAGGTTACCCTGTTTTGGCCCAGGATACTCAGCAACCAGGGTCTAATGCCTTCACTACTTGGTTCTTACTCCATGTAGAAGATGCCAACTTCAGCTTCGAGAACAGGCCCACAGTTGCTCATAAACTTTTCGTGAGGTCGAAAGAGATGCTGCTTGGCATACTGCGTCTTCCATACCCTTGCAGCCTTATCGCTGCTCGATTGCAAACAAAGGTTCCCCATGTTCCCCTAACCGCCCCTCCATACATGGGGGCTTATAGTAATAGTAGGAATCCCTTAGCATCAGGACCCCGAAAAGATACCCCAATTTCGGAAACCACCAAATCAAGAAGCCTCACCACTGAGCAGGAGAGAGAGCATGACCTTGGTGCCCGCCATCCCTCAGTCAACTACTGTTTGCTTAAGAACCACGACTCCCTTTTGTGCCCTAATAAGGAAGAATATGTTTTCATTTTTTGGGGAGGGGTTTTAAGCAAATATGTAAGGAGGACTATTTTTTCATTTTTTGGGGGGTTCTTAAGCAAATAGTAGAAAGCCCCTAGACTGCACGAACCAGGTGGAAGACTTCACCACCAATTCGAAAGTTCCAAAGTTTCCAGCCTGGAACTGTCATCAGCAGTGGGCTTTAGGCTCAAAATAGCCCAAAAACCTTCAATAAGAAGGCCCTGGGGCCCAAAAACCAGAATCCTTAGGGTAAGTATGGGAGGACAACCTCACAATGATGAGAGAACACCGCATGTAGAGTCTTGGCGGTAGCCATGATGGGACTCATGGCATTCCCTCCAACCACTACATGGCAAACTATTGCACGTCAGAGGTGGCAGCCTGATGCAAAGTCATGAGTCGTTTGATGCGTCCGATAAGGAGCTCCATCATCAAGATATGTAGAAGGGAACCCTCATAGAACCACCCCCCACGTAAGTCCGCGAAGATGGGCCTAATATATGCCGCCACTGCATTGCTTCTAGATGCTTCAGGTGTCCGTTAAGACACGCCGAAACACTGAGGATGCACTGGAAAGTGCATGTGATTCTTCTGCTGGGACGCGTTCTGGCGGGAGCTGGCACATCGATTCTATTCTCCTGTTTCGACGCTTGGGCCTTTTTTGAATTCCTGCCGCTCTTTATATTACAGAGCAGTTTCATGCTCTTTGAAGGACGTTTACCTTTTTTAATTCCTGCTAACAGGCCTAGCTCGGCGGCCTAGCTCGTTCCCTCGTCCTGCCCAAGCACAGAAAACCCAGCAGCATCCCGGCCATGTAAGGAATGCTGGATGGTATCCGAGCACACCGCAAAGCATAATTTTTCTTCGAGCTTGCTGACGTACATGTTTAGCTGAGCCCTCAGACTTGGATTTCCAGTTTTTCGGCGATCTCTGGGCCAAGAACCCTAAGTCCACCTTTGGGCAGACGTCCATCAGGGCGGGGGCTGCTTTTACTTCCATCGGAACGTAAATCTCGAAAACGCCTCACTCTCCTGCACTGAGGTCTCAAGTTCTGCGCCATGTACACGGTGGCCGTGTTGGCGGGCTTGGGATCACAGGCCGTGGTTGATAACACCAAGCTGACAGTACTGGAGGACCGTGTCTGGGCATCCTCGGAGCCCTAAACCCAAACTCCTCCAAAGGTACCCCCAAAAAGGAGGGACCCTTAAGGGGTTCTTTGGGGGCTACTTAGGTATAGAGTGAGAATATAAGGTTCTCTGTAGGGTTGTATAGGGGAATAACCCCCCTTGTAGGGGTCCCCCCTTGATCCCTTGAGCGTCGCCCAACTGAGGCGTCGGCATTTACTATGGAGGCTACACGGCACCCTACGATCTGTCGGTCCTCATGCTTCTGGTTGGCTTCTGCATCATTGCCACATGCTGGTCGGAGAACTATGGGCAAAGCTCGGGGACGGGAAGTGCGGCGCTTAACTGCTTGCTCCAGACAAAGCGGGGTTAGCACAGGAATGCTCGAAGAGACCCCATCAGTTCTTGCAGCGGGATGGACAGCGAAAGGATGCTCTGTGCACGTTTGAGAAGTTCGAGTCAACATGTGGAAAGGGCGTGAACCTTTTTCTCACCAGGCAAGCTCCTCATGTGGGATGCCGTGAACCTGCTATTCCAGGAGAGCTCTGCACACATCTTGGCTGCCCTCACCGATCTCAGAAAGAGAGAAGCCGTCACAGCCCCCCGTGCCTACTATCCCTGAACCCTAAACCCTAACCACAAAAGGGTCGGAATACTTACGAACACTAATGGTCCCTTTATGACTCTGCAATAATAACCCCCAGAACCCCCTTCTAATGATTAAGGCCCCTATGCTCCTCAGAAGCCCTGCAGGGCAACAGTCACTAAACAACCAGGGGCGTGCAAGCTGCCCAGAGGATCGAAACTGCCTCCGTCTCTGCATGCTCGTCGCCATTTTTGAGGGCTCCATGTGCCTCGGCCCCATTGTTCTACAACGCAGCTGTGAAGGGCCCTAAACCCTAAACCCTAAACCTTCAACCCTGGCAGCCGAGTAGCACTGAGGTATGTCTTCGTCTCGAACTGGACCCCGGCTCTGGAGTCAGAGGACATTTCAACTGGCTCGCAATATTGGGTTCACGTTTAGGATTTAGGATTTGGGGCTACTATTTGCTTAGGAATCCCCAAAAATACAAATATGTTCTTCCTAATAAGGCTATATAAGGGTGATTATCTTTATCTCTTATTTTTTTTGAGGGGGGGTTCTTCAGCAATAGTGGCAAAGAGGATACTGAAAAAGCCCTATTTAAATCGAATCCTTGAACCCTCAGCTGGAAAGGATTCGAGGGGACCCTTCTCAAATTGAAGCCGCAGCTTTCCAAGAATGTGGACCTGATTCTGCGGAAAAGGGCGTGAGATAAAGGTCCTATCCAAGCTCTAAGTATAGAAATGGACTGGAAAATCCAAAAAGTTTGCGAGCGGGATTCTACTCGAGTTGGCACTCAAATGAACCCTTTGGAAAAGGAGTTTTGAAGGAGTCCTGTTTTCAATCTCTAAGTATAAGCATAAGGCTGAAAAATAAACACATAAGTGCTTGAGATGCGACCGTTCTTTTTGCAATTGAAGTCCTTAAAAGGCATCAGACCTACCCCCTGTGGCTTTGCTTCTACTCTCCCCTCCAGGCCCCCTGCGATGTTGCGAGACCCGACATGGGTTAACCTGAGGTATGGTCACTTCTCTAAAATGTGGTCCCTTTTGGGGTTACTCGTATAAGGCGGCCCCGAGTATTGTAGGATACCCAGAAGGGGCCATAATTTTGAGAATTTGCCAGGTTCAAGAAGGGTTGAGGGTTTTAGGGGTTTAGGCATATTGCAGAGCGTAACGGCCACAAGTGCTGTTGCAGTAAGGCGCCGGCGTAGAGCTCAGCCCGGGTTCAAAAGAGTTTTGGGGCATTACGCTAGTGCCCGGAGTACCAGGGTGACCTCATACAGAGAAACCCTCTAGTATGCAGTCAGGAGCTGGTTCGTCTCCAAAGAGTAGATTTTTGGGGAGTCGTTTTTTTCGGATCAGTTTCTCAAAGTTACCGTTCGGTTTTGGGTACCTCAAACATTCTGGGGGCTGTCTTTTGGTGAACTTTTCAATCTTTCGAGGACAACCATGTCCAGGAACCACAGACTTTGTTCCCAAAGACCCTAGTACCCAAGAGACCCTAAACCCTCAATCTTCTAAACCAACCCTAAAGAAGACCCTAATTCCTCCAAACAAAAAAAAAAAACCTAAAGAAGACCCTAATTCCTCCAAAAAAAGCCTAAAGAAGACCCCTACTTAAAAGCCCCAGAGGACACCTCCCCTCCTCATGGCCTGGTCTTCGCGCTCTTCATGCTCTCGGCAACCTGCGGATCCTCAGCCACTTGGCCTGTTTTTCCCCTTGAGAGGGGCCCTTGTTTGGGGCTTTAAGGGGTATGTAGGGGCTTTAGGGGTTTAGGGTTTGTAGGGTCTTTAAGGCTTTTAGGGTTCCAGGGGTTAGTGAAGATAAGACTCTCTTTGAGGGGAACCTGGTGGGCTTGCGAGGGCTTCGGCTCGAAAAGCAAAAACAAACCCATTACTTGTTGGGAAGGGTTTAGGGTTTGGGGTTTTGGGGTTTAGGGTTTAGGGTTTGGGTTTAGGGTCATACCAAGTTCAAGGACCGCGGGAAGTTGGTCATGGGCTTAGGATACCAAGTCCAGGGAGCGAAAGGGTAAGCTAAAGGAAGAGGCCACCTGGCTTCTCCGCAGTGTCTTCAACTGCTCAAGCGGCGTTCTTTCTGGCCTACGGCTGTTTCTCTGCAGAGTGTTGCATTCTGTTCTCGGGGTCTGGAAATGGTCGCCTCAACTTCGGGCCCTCACATTTTGAAACGTTGGCTTCATGAGGCTCTTGTCTTCAGCTGTAGAGAGAGCCCACTTTCCCAAGACTTTGTCATAGCGGGGTAACCTTGTATTATTTTGAAGGCTACTTAAACTCAATGAGGAAAAGAACTTTAAATCTTTCATCTTATCCCAACCATGAACTCGAAAGCCTCTTAAATTCCAAACCCCAAAAGCCGGGTGCCGAGGCAGCGACCTTGGGTGGGCGTTTCATGAGCGCCTTGGTGCTGGACAGGGTTCCAAGAGGAGTTGCGGGGCAAGTTCTTCTTCTTGCTGGTTTAGGCTTTAGGGTTTAGGGTTTAGGGTTTTTGTTTGCTTTGCGCTGGCTCGAGTTCCAAGTGGCCCTGGAAGTTACGTTTTTTTGGAGGGTTGGTATCTTTGGGAAGCTTGGGGCTCACTTTGCACAACTCCTCCTGAGACCGGACAGAGAGCGTTTAGGGTTTAGGGTTTGGGGTTTAGGGTTTAGGGTTTAGGCATTCAATCCAGAAACCTTGAGGTCCGCGCAGGCAGCTGCGGGTCATCATGCTCCTCTGTGTTCTGTCATTTGCCCTTGCCAGCCGGAGCGCATGCACAGCTTCTTAGCCAGGACTCGATCTGTTTGTTTAGGGTTTAGAGTTTTAGGGTTTTGGTTTAGGGGTGGTCTGCCTTGTGGTTTTTTTGGCGAAGGCTTGCCTCAGAGTGTGTGGGTTGCATCCTGGCTTGGATCTTCCCCACGAGCTTCGATCTTTCATGCTGGCATCTGTCCGACCATGTGATGTAGGCTGTTCGAAAATGCGCAGTACCCCTTTCCTCTAGGAGCTACTTTCACTCATAGACCCGGCACCCTTTGTGACCTTGGCTGGGGGGGCGGGTGGGGGCAACCGAGTGACCCGGTGTTGCTTGGGGGTTTTGCCATGGAGCTGAGGCAATCGGCTACTGCCTGATTGCCTTCATGATCTTTGAATTCTGTGTGGGCTGGTACTTCCCCTGCGTCGGCATCGCCAAGAGCGAGATTGCTCGGTCCTTAAGTTCAAGAAATCGCTGCAGAAGTCTCTGCTGTGAATATGGAGAACTCAAAGCACCAAAACAGTAGAACAAAGCATCTCTAGCCGGAGGTTCCAGTGCACGTGCCTTGTCCTGCTTGCATTGTGCTCTGCGGTGTCCTTGCACTAAACCCCCTCTTTCTCATGGGCAGCTCATCTGTGGAGCCCCCAGGCCGAAGAAGCCGGGAGCCGAAGCATTTGCAATCAGGACCCAATAAGGGACCCTAATTTAGAGAGTTACCCATATAGACGACCCATTGAGGTCACATAGGCCCCTTACGGCCCTCCTTCTCAGGTCCCAGATCGCATCCGGGGGTCTATGTACAACTTGTTCCGAGTGCCGCTGAATGTCCAGCGCCCAGTTCCGACCAAAGCTTTGGAAACCGCTCCTCTTCCGGTTTTGAGGGAGTAAATATCAGCGGGTTCTGCTGCACCTTTTGAGGTGGTGGGACTCTTCCAAAGAGGCCCAGAGAACAGTCATGTTACGACTTCGGGTCGACGGTGGGCTCTTGTGGCTTGAGGGGTTCAGGGTGCCTGGGAGATGTGTCTTGGAAGCTGCGGCTGTCAACCTTCCAAGAGGCTTTATTCGCCTTCTGTACTGGAACCTTGAAAACCCGCAAAAGGGGAGAAGGGATTTTTCTACGTGCAGTTGGGGTTATATGGCCATTTGTCTTGGTAGCCCAGTGGTACCCTCTTCAGCACCTCAGAGCTAGTACCCTCCTTCTTTTTGCCTGAGCTCGACCCCACCCACCCTCCTAACATGAAATACTTCACGTGTCGTAGGCATTCAATGCGTGATCGTCGAAACTTAATCCTAGAGGCCCAAACCCCCAACCCAAACCCCCCCAAACCCTGCGTCCTGAACCCTAAACCCTCAGAGAACCCCAAACCTAAAACCCTCAAAAACCCCTAAAAACCCCCTAAAAACCACTGGAACCCCTCTCAGGTCTTGGTGTTGGTTCTCCTTCTCACGGACCTCAGCAGCGACTCGCGCTTCGCTCTTTGCGCCGTGCTGCTCCTGCTCGCGATGCTGGCGCGCGGGGTGTAGGGTTTAGGGTTTAGGGTTTAGGGTTTAGGGTTTAGGGTTTAGTGTGTTTAGGGTTTAGGGTTTAGGGTTCTAGCATGGACGAGCGGGAAGGCCCATTGTGTTTGCCTACAACATGCGTAGCCAAGCAGGTTCTAGCAACTGGTTTGGACGAGTTCACTCTCGGAGCCCATTTCCATTTTGAAATTTGTGCATACTGGCGAAGACACAGCAAAAACAAACACAAACAATCCATATGCATAGCTTGTACATATACACACCGACTAATATACACATATATATATATATATATTCATGTTATATTAATTTGTTTTCATGTGTTGATTTTCCCGTTCATCTATTCCTTTCTTTATTTCTTGAGATGTGTGCTTACGGAGTCACGTTTATAAACCTTAAGTATCTATGCGCGGTTGTATATATGTGTGTTGAACACGTGTACCCACGTTGCTCCGTGTGAACATTACGCCTTCGTCTTCCTTGGAAGCATCGCCTCTTCCTTGGGGGGAGGCCACCTTCGGACTCGGGCACAAGCCCAAGAGTGCCGACACCCAGGTTGGGCAGCACAGAGGGTTTAGGGGTTTTTGGGGGGGCTTAGGGTTTTTTGCGGGGGGGGAGTGGGTTCGGAAGGTCATCCCCCCCACTCCAGACGCAACACAAAGGATTTCGGAACGTATGGTTTGGCCAAGCATGTACTAAAGAATGGGGGGGGGCTCCTCCTCTGTTTTGGGGGAGATGGGATCCCAGACTTCGGGGTTTTGGGGGGCTGAAGGTTTTTGCACGAAAACATGAGAAGCCCATTGCCTCAGCAACCGAGCCTTGAGACCTCGAGGTGGCAGGTACGTCCTTTATAGGATTTCAGGGTTTTAGGGCTTAAGGGTTTTAGGGTTTAGGATTTTAGGGTTTAGAATTTTAGGGTTTTAGGACTTTAGGGTTTGAGGGTTTTAGGGGTTTTGGGGTTGAGGGTTTAGGGCGTCTATCTCTGACAACCCCCTGTCGAGGGCAAGCTTTTTGTGCTTCGAGGTTGAAGGCATCCAGTTGCAGCTACTGGGCATCATGTTGCACCTTCTGCACCCATATGAAATTTGCTCTTCCAACAAACCCCCCGCAACCAGGGCCTTGAACCCTAAACCTTGGGATGTTCCCCCCTTAGACTAACTAACAGTCCTCAATGTGCTATCACCCGTATTCAGGACTAACAGGGGAACATCCCAACAGCCTAAACCCTAAACCCTTAAATAGCCTTTGCTCTTCACTCTTGGCTTTCGCAGGTCCATCCTGCAGTGTGAGCTTTGCGCGTCATTTCTTGCGAGGGAGGGTTTGGGGATTGGGGTTTAGGGTTTAGGGATGTGGGGGGAGTTTTGGATATCTGCACGCGATCTAGAGTTGTTTTTGGGTACCTGCTTGCAGAAGGGTGGATTTTAGGATGGTTCCGGGTTTTAGGCCATTCCGCGACGTTTGCACGGCAGAGGATAGAATCCTGCCCGATTTATGCTTAGAGCTCAGAGCGGCCCCGCACGCCCCCATTTTCCGGTGTTGGCTGCTCGGCTGAAGCCTTTGGCAAGCCGCAGCCACACAATCCATTGCATGCAATTGCTAAAAAGGCAATGAGAGCAGCTGGACTTCCCCCGTGGAGGCCGTTCCGAAGGAGTCCCTTCTTTGGCTGGGAGAATAGCAGCAGGGCCTTTTGCACAGTCTCTCGACGCGCATGAGGCAGAAGTGTTTTGGTTCTTCTTCGTGCAGGCTGGGGAAAGGCACAATGCCTATGCCCAGGTACAGATGAGGTACAGGTCCTGCTCTAAGCTTTATGGCTGGGCCACTGCATGCATCAGCTCGCTACGTCCATGCCCCGCGCTGAAGCTGCTAAGCGGCCGAAGGCCAAAAACAGATGCATGCAGATGCTCATCTGATTACAACAAATAATGTCTTTGCTGCTGCCAAAGCAGCCAAAGGAGAGACCCGATTTAGCAAAGCCTCGCAGGGTTCAGCCGGGGGGTTGGGGCTTCGTTTTGTGGGAAGCTTGTGGGATCTCCATCTTTCAGGTTTCAAGGGTGATAGTTTCTCATTTGCCTCACCCTTATCTCTTTTCACGCGTGAAAGGCAAAGGCTCACTGCAACCGCAGTCCTTGCTTTCATCTGCCACCTGCCTGTGAAGAGCTGGCGGCTGAGACCTGCTGCGAGACCGTGACAGTGCAAACTCGCGCAAAGAGCAAAAGGTCAGACAGGATGGGGAGGTGCGGGGACAGGTACTCCTTTGTTGCAGAGTCAGTAAAAACTCCTGTGCCCTGGGCATGAGCTGGGAAGCAACGCTGCAAGGGACGTTGGGGGTGGGCTTTCCATGGGGGCACCTTCGGTCACCACCCCGCACCTCCTGTGAAAATCCATATTCCGCTGAAGTCAAGATCGCCGATGGGACCATTGCAACATGGAAGAAACATGAGAAGAGTGTGGCTCACGGCACAGCTGCTGACAGCATGATCAACACGGCATCCTCGTTTCAGCTGTTAGGCCCTAAATCCTGCAATCTTCTCTGTAGTAGACCACAGAAATGCCCCCCCCCCCCCTCCCAGGTAAGTTGAAAAGGCTACAATCCCCATGTCCGGCCTTCAGCCATGGCCCCATTTTGCCCCAAGGGCGCCCACATCGCTGCCGCGGGTGAAGACGCCCTCCAAGTTGCCGAGCTCCAAGAAATGGGTGGATACGTGGACGTACTGCCCCTAGGCAGGCCCTTGGGACATGTTTTATTCTGATCCTATTCAAATATTTTTTCAGCGGCGTTAAGGGGCCCACCTAGGCCCTGTCCCGATCCTACTGGCTCGTGTTGTCTACAAGAGGAGTGTCTATCGAAGAAGTGTGGCGGCCGCGGAGAGCGATGGCACTCTGGGAGTGGCAGAACGCTACTCATCCGAAGACTGGTACGAGCACCTGCAAAACTTTCCGATGTCTGAAATCCTGAAACGGGTGAAGTCGCACCTCGCGTTTAACGCCGTCTTCGCCATGCTGATCTTCGTCGTCAACTTTTTTACCGACTCGGTCCGTCCACCGCCTCTGGCGCTCCTGAGCGCGTGTTCCACTGCTCTCGGTCTGCTCCTGGTCTTCAGGAGCCCAGCCCCGCAGCTTCTATGGCTTATATGAACTTATATGCTACATCAGGTTCATCTGATGTTTCCATGAGAAATTTTGGGCTATGTTTAGTATCACGTACCGGCTTAAAGCTGCGCAACTGAGCTCATCATAGCACAAGCACTGTATGGATTCTGCATGGATGTGCGTGGTTTCAGCTTTGCATACTCCAAAGCAAAGGCCACTGCTGAGGAAGTTAGGCAAACCCAGCAAAATCCTGCACGTACCCTATACAGGAGCCTGAAGAATTACCAACATCATCCCATATATGTCTGTACTCTAGCCTACCCAAAACCCCTCTGACTATATAAGCCTCTTCAGCAAGTTGTAGATTTGTCTAGTGCTCTGAAATAGGCAAACCCCACTTAAGCCCCCCCCCTAAGGTCTATCCCACTTCCGGGTAGTCCCATTTCTGTTCTTCTGTGCTTGCGAAGGACCAACGCAGCCTACGAACGCTGGTGTGCTGGGTATCGGTGTGTCCGAGAGACCAAATCTCACCTGCAGCAGCTGCGGCGCTTGGCACGACTCTGGATGACAGAAGAAGATCAAGAATGGATGGATGGCCAGGGGCCTCAGGCCTAACGCCACGCAGAGTTGCTTGCGTTTTTTGCAGGAAGATGCCCTCTCCAAAGACCTAAGCATGCTGCATATAGCAGACTATATTCTGGAACCTGCTCAGCCATAGCCCCAAACTTCCCCCATCACAACACACACACACACACACGCACACACACACACACACACACACACACACACACACACACACACACCAACCAACCAACCAACCAACCAACCAACCAACCAACCAACCAACCAACCAACCAACCACAACCCAAAAAAAAAACTGTGCCTGAAGAATCAAGCAAAAGCCCCCCAGCCCAGGTCAGCTGGCGACTTTCCCCGCCTACTTGGGCACCTTCCTCGGGGGCGGAGTCGGGGCTCGTGGGAAGTCCTGGGCCTTGCTCAGCGAGATGGATCTCCGGCTTTTGGAGTTCAACCCCCCAAAACTTCCCAAAACCCTAAACCCCCTATGAAGAAGGTTCCTAAACCCCGCTTAAGGGGGTTTAGGGTTGTGGGGCTTTGGGGTCTAGGGTTTAGATGTTTCGAGGATTGGAGTTTGGGGGGTTGGGGGTTTTGGGGTTTAGGGCCTCAACCCTTCTGAGATTGCACCCCCCTGCCCTCGAACCCTGAAGGGGGGTGAGTCCGGGTACAGGATCCAGTTGCTTTTGGGCCTGGAGAAGTATCCCTCAAGCAGGGCCCCCTTTAAGGGGTGGGGAGAGTCCCAGCATCATTCTGTCAACGCAGCTTTTGATAGAGGGGGACTTCGCACAATGTTCGCCACAGCTGTCGTCTGAGAGCATCTCCACTACACTGAAGACCTAAGTTTTGGGTTTCCAACTACCCCGAGAACCCTAAAGTCACAAGACCTGCGCCCAGGAGCGAGACCCACGTGAGATCCTTGTGACCTTCGGCGAAGGGCTCTACAAGTGCCTGGCCAAAGATGCCTCGCCGGCGGCGCTCTACACTGAGGCAGCTTGTGGGTACCCAGATCTTCCAAAACCCCCGTAATTTGAGGAATATATACCCTGATTCATAAGAATGGTCCTTAGTAGAAATTGGGATGTATTCCTTGGGGTCTGTTCCTTAAGTGGTTTTGGAAGAGGGTCCCTTGTTGGGCTCCTTATACAAAAGGGTACCCAAAATATGACCCTGACTTTAGGAAACTACCCATTCTCATTCATTCAATAGCGTTTCCTGGGAGTTAAACTGATAGTACGACAAGATCCAAAAATGGACGGCGCGCTAGGGCTCGGTCAGATAAGGATCGTTTTTGAAGCGTGAGGTGCGACGCGCGCGAGCTTCAGACTTCAGTCGCAGCGCGAAGCTCCCGAGCTTCAGGCGCAAAACGCCAAGCTTGCAAGCTTCAAGTGAAGCGCGAAGTGCACGGACTTAATGGCTTTGGGTGAAGCGCGAAGCGCGTGAGCTTCGGATGTCAGGCTCCTGATAGTGAAGCTCGCCAGCTTCAGACTTCAGGCTTCAAGCGAAGCGAGTTTCAGAAGCTTCACCCGATTTGCGAAACAACCTTGGCGTGCCCTCCGAAAATGGCAATCATGAAAAGACTTCACACCTTTAAGGGTATATTTCTAGAAAAAAGAGCGGTCAGAGCGGTCCAAATACAGGCTCGCAGAGACCGCGATCTAGATCTAAAGGGCCATCCAAAACAGAGTTGAGAGAAAAAAGGTACAAAAATCAGCTCACACAGACGGCCATCCAGCGCTAAAGATCCGGCCAAGACGCATGAGACTGTGCGGGCCGGGAGCGGGCGACCGGCAGCAGTGTACTGTGGCGAGAAGGCGAGCATCGCGTAAAGACCTTAAATGCAGGAGAGCCAACACCGTTTTAAAGGGATTATGGCACGAGAGCCGCCGCGCTAGTCACGCCTGGGCTAGCTTTCGTTAGCCTCGGCTTGTTTCTCGGCTTTGGACCCCAGAGAGTTTGAGACAAAGTTGCTCACCTTGCCTGAACGATTCCTCACGTTTGATTTGGTTGAGTGTTGGAGGGCCGCCGCCCAAAAGAAGAGTTTTGTCCGAGGACCCGGTTCCACAAACGATGAATGAGCTACCCTTCTTTTTTGCAGTTCTGGCACAAATGCGAACTCTTCTGAAGCCTGAAACGCTAGGACCTTGTACCTCTCAAACCCTCTTCACCTGCATACTGTGCCATAAGATCCAGCATGTGAGATCACTCTCCTCCCACCACGAAGGACCGAATGCAGGGCCACATTACTGCGGCGTTGGCCAGCACCACAGAGATGGATTTGGAGTTTCTTTTGTTTTTTCACGCCGGCGAATGAAGACCTTACTCCTTTCTAAGAAGAAAGCCTACTTCAATCCGTGCAAATGGTCTGATGTGTCAGGACCATTGCTCAAGGCATGTCCCATGACATCACGAGACTAGTTCGGAACCATGCTGGGGATGGCCGTTCCGTTTGCACAAGGCTCTTTTGGTTTTTGCATCCTCTGTAATGCCTAAAACTGCTCGAGTCCTGACAAGTTGCCCAGGTATTGAGGAAATGGCTCAGATCGTGACTGTTCCAGCGTGGCACTCACTTTCTTTCCCAACTTTCCAGTAAGCCGAAGAGAGCTGTTTCAGCAGGATCTACTCCTGTGATCCTCATGTGAAACCGCTTCGTGTGCAACATACTGTCAGAGTCCCCAGGTCGCCCGAGAATATTCCAGACACGCCTCCCGCTTTCTGTGCTCCACCTGCATCCTGAGTATCTTCTGGTTTAGAACTGGCAAGAGAACAACCCCAGCCGGCTTCGAAAGTTCCTTATGGCTCACAACCTGACGCAGTAGAACCCGTCGGGGTTAGGCTTCAACGTCTCAACCCTCAACTAAACAAACCCGAAGCCCTGGGTTGGGAAATCAGCAGGCGATGAGGGCGCCTTTGAGGTTGCGTGTACCCCTGAACCCCTACCCCTGCAGAGCCTCTAGCCATCCCCATCCCCAAATCCCCCACGCCAATGTTCCCCATGTGTGCTTCTCCGACAAGATTCATGCTGAGAAAGCCCGGGTGTCCCTGAATTCGGGTTTAAGGTTTAGTCGGTTTAGGGCTTAGGATTTAGGATGCCAAGGACGGTATACCTTCTGATCTTGCCGTTTGCTTTAGTGGAGCTTGGTTCCTTCATGCCTGTGGCGGTCCTCGTCATCGCTTGGGCATTAATCGCCATTGAGGACCGGGAGCTTCAGTCTTGGGGTTTTGAACCTAAACCCTAAACCCTAAACCCTCAAGACAAAATAAATAGAAATTGTATGTGGTATCATTCTGATTTTTCCAAGAGATTTGTCTAAACAGCTGACAAACAGAGTTTAAATAAATTAATCCAAAGCGGGAGGCCAAATTTTCATTTACTTAAACCTCTGGGGCCTTTTCGGGGTGCCTCCCGGGTCAAAACCACAAATTGGCTTCCAATGCCCAAAATTGGCCCCCAAAGCCCAAAATTTGCTCCCCAAGCCCAAAAGTGGCTTCCGGAGCCCAAAATTGTCTCCACAGCCCCAAAATTGGCCCCAAAGTTCAAAAATGGCTTCCGAAGCCCAAAATTGGCTTCCGGAGCCCAAAATTGGCTCCAAAGCCCAAAATTGACTTCCGGAGCCCAAAATTGACGCCCCAGACCAAATTCACCCCCAAGCCCAAAATTGGCCCCCATAAGTCCAAAATTTGCCTCCCAACTCCGGAGCCCAAAATTAGCTCCCAGAGCCCAAAATTGACTCCCCAGCCTAAAATTGGCCCCAAAACACTAAATTGGCCCAAATTGGCCCCCAAAGCCCAAAATTTGCTCCCCAAGCTCCCCCAGCCCAAAATTAGCTTCCGGAGCCCAAAATTGGCGCCCAGACCCCCCAGAGCCCTAAACCTAATATCTAAAAAAAATCTTTCGCTCAAAACGTTATTGGGACCCAAACCCTATACAATTTCTATAAATCCTAAACCCTAAACCCCAAAGCAAAGTGAGGTCCCTGGCACAAGGTGCCGCAACAGGCCGGGGGAGGGGGGGGTACCAGCAGTCGTAATTTTGAGCGCCTCGCCGAAAAAAAAAAACATGAGTCATTTTGTGTGAGCTGTTTGTGCTCTCGTAGGAAAACCTGCACGCAGGGATGCCAGGGCGATGATTGTAGTTGAAGTTCCTATTTGCCAGCCGGGTGGCCGCTGAGCAGGTGGCTCAAGATGCCAGAGCAAGCAGAGAACGAGAGAGAAGCAGGGACCAAGAATCTTCCTTGCTTTCATGTCGGTAAGAATATGTAGGATCAAGTAGGCCAAGCTGTCCGCCATGACACAAGTGCGAGTAGTCCAGGAGATCGGCCATACTTTGGAAGACCCTTTCAACAGCCCGACACAGTTGCTTGGCGGCTCCATGATCATGTTTCGAAAGGACAAACATAAGCACGTTGGAGGGGCCTTTGTCGCGCCCAGCATACCTTTGTGTGGCTTTCTCGTTGTAACCCTAAGCAGCTTAAGCAGCTGCAGCGTTTCTGAAGCAGCAGTCCATGGCCTTGAACGCATTGCTGCGAGCCCCCAGTTTGATGCCACAGAGCTCCCCAAGGCGAAATGTTGTTCTGTTTCCAGGCTCCATCAAACCCTTTTCAACCAACAAACCTCACTACAAATCTCTGCAGAAGACGTAGTGGCAGCAACGTTGTCTACACAAAACAACTGAAGTCTCCGAGGCCTTTGAACGTGCAGGCCTACTTGGAGCAGCCACTGGGCTATGAGCCCCTCATGCAAGCACAGCGGCCTTTCGAGGTGCTTGAGCCAAAGGACCGATTTGCGGTTTAAGTAGTAGTGGGCTTAAGTCAACCTCACCCCATTGCTTCGGTCCCTTGTAACAAGGCACTGAGATCTGTCGGCAGGTGCAGGAATTTCTTTCTACAACGACGGTCATTAAAAACCCTCTGCCCCAAACCTCGTATCCCCCAGCCCCTACATCCTTATAATCGGATCCAAACGTTTAGAGGTTACAGGCAAGCTACCACAGGAGCCCTAAGCAAAAAGGGTTTAGGGTTTAGGGCACCCCTCTTCAGGAGCCGGAGAAACAGGACGAGCCTGAGCCGGCCAAGCACACCAAGCCTGCTGAGGAGTCGGGAAGCTGGGGGGGTTTAGGGTTTAGGGTTTAGGGTTTAGGGGGTTCTACAGGGCAGTCCACTGGTGCCCTTTTGCCCTTTCGGGTTCTAAAAGTCACCCAAAGGTACCCGTCTCGCAGTATTGTCGTTACTGGGATTCCAAGTCTATACAGAACACGAGGGCCTGCGACTTCCATGCCTATTTTGTGCTTCTGCAGGGATGGTGTACGACTTCCAAGAACTCGATTTTGTGTACAGTTTGCCCGTAGATGCCCGGTTCTGGGTTGGAATGGAGGCCTGTAGTCTGTCAAGACGATCTTCTTGCCTTGGAACATGTCAGTCAAGGTTCCTCGTCCATTGCCTTGTTGTGAGTCGTTCTCCGAATGCCCAAGCCACATCATGTTTGTTATGGGGCAGCTTCTGCTTCAGTATCCTGTCAGTTTGGTCGCGAGGAGGACAAAGGAGCTGATGGCAGCGGTGGGGAAGCTGCAGAGGCAGACTCGAGCAAGGAGGCGGACCCGAACGAGGATGCGCCAGCACCATGACTCCGACGAGAATTTGTATTGGTTGTAGGCTTAGATTCGATGCTAAGAGACAGTGAGGCGCAGAACATTCGTTGCTGCATGACTGTGGGATTGGCAATGGACACCAGCAACTTTCACTTTTAGCTTGTTCTATTCTGTCCTCCAAGACCAGAACCAGTAGCTATTGTGTTTGTCACCGGCCAATCCGTTTAACAGCGATGAACGGCCAGACTGTCAGCTAAAGTGCTGGCTACTGGCCCACTGGTTATGCCAGCAAAAGGCGCAGCGACCCCAACCCGCAAGCGGGGCAAGAGGAAAAAACAGCTAGCCACTTTCCGCACGCGCTGGGATTTCACAGTTGAACCGTCGCAGAAAGAGGCTCGCCAAGCATAACCGAAGAGATCAGCTGCAGCGGAATATAAATGTTAGCAGTGAGTTGCACATGGTCAAAGGATATCTTCCTGAGTTGCGATGCTGGTGTTCAGGGACGGGGTTAAACAACAAGCAAGTCGCCGGCTGAGTGCGTGGTCTTTGAATCTATCGGTATATAGCCCCTTGTTAGCCATGCAAGTGCGTGTGCTGGTAGTGCTGGTAGTGGAGAGTTCCAAACATGCAAAGGCCTCTTGCCCAGTCGGGTGAAGAACAGCTGGATACGGGCCTTACCCGTTTTGGGGGCTCCGAACGTACTGGCAATGATGTTTTGTGTCGCAAAAATCTGGAGACTGCTTGGTTGAAAGTTGATGACGATCCTAACCCCACCTGGACCCCAACAACTTCCCCAAAGTCCTCTAATGATCTTGGGGTTCTAGGCCACTATTATGGGTGGTTCGAGGTTCCCGGGCACGCCCTCGACCTTAGACCCGAAACATCTACCCCAAACCCTAAACCCTAAGCCCCAACAGTCTGCAATTAAGGTTTAGGTTGTTTGGGCTTAGTTTTGGGGTGGTCTTGTGGGATGATGGTAGTGATCTCAATTTCATGCCATACCGGGAGGTTCAAGCCTTGGTGGTTGGGTCCAGTGGCTCCTGCGCACCAGGGAGATATCATGAGTCTTTGCAGCAACTTTGCCTCAGAGATGTTTTCAGAATTGGTGCCTCAGCAAATCATAGGACACCTGAAAGAGTTTGGCACGTGGACTCCGAGGATTCGGGTTTAGGGGCCATGGGCGCAAGGGGTTCATGCGTCCGGCGTTTGCTTCTAGCCGCATGCACGAGTAGGTATTGGGGGTTTAGGGGTTCAGGGCTTGCATGGATCACGTCAGTAAAATCGCATCCGAAAAGCGTTATCGAGAGCCTAATTCAATTTGTTTGAGGCATGTCCATCACCGGCAAGTTCTTCCTGTAGCAATCCTGTAGCTTCGCCCCCCTCCCTAAACCCTTAAGGGCCTAGGCCAACACACTATTCCATCGAATCTTGCAACAAGAGGGATCGGCATGGCACGGCTGGCAGTGGTTGAGGCGCCACGGTTTTATGAGCAGGTGTTAGGGCAAACCATGCGCTGGGTCACCCCAGGAAGGTGCGCAGTTGAAGAGCCTGCTGTAGGCGGTAGGGGGATGGGGAGTATAGGAGTTCTGGATTCAGGTAGATCGTAAATAGAATAAGATTCGGGCGAAAATTTCGGCCGCGGCGGATAAACTCACGGCCCGTAAACCCCAAGCTCTCACTCCCCGATGATAATGGAATGGTATTATTTTACCTGGCGCACAAGCGACACGTAGAGGAACGGCAGACCCAAGAAGTAATCTCCTGCTCTAACTGGATGATAGGTTCTGGATAGGATATCATTATCTCTCTTTTTAATCCAAACGAGATCATATAATATTGACAAAATATGAAATATGAGATTTTTCATTTCTTTCGACAGGAATTAGGATTTTTTACTAACCGAAAACCTTCCGATCAATACGATTGAAAGGAATGAAAGAATTTTTTTATCTATATATCTATATAATGGTCAATTGATATTTTTTTCTAAAAATGAGAGGTTTGG